GCATGAGAGCGTCGGAGAGTACGAGCGTCAGAGCATCAGGGAGCGAGCATCAGGGAGCGTCTGAGAGCATCCACGAATGACTACATCAGGCTGTAAAATTAGTGTTTTGAGACGTTGTATTTTAATTCCATTCCAGAGGTTCAGGTAGAAACGAGCACTTCAGTTTAATCCAGGAACATTTGTATCGTTGTTTGATCCTGAACGTTCGTCCATCTCGTGTTTGGACCGCAGATCGTCCACGAGTTCTTCTCTGCAGATGTTGGTGGTGGTTAAATGAGACGTTAGTAATGCTGGCACCACGTGATGAGGTGTTGTCTGGAGAATCTGTAGGAAAGAGACAAAAGTGTCAACACCTGTTTGAAAGCTCAGATGAAGGTTCTTCGTGGATCCCCGGTTCAGGAGATCAGAACTATCCCTTTAGGTGAGGTGGGAGACTGTTTGACGTTACGAACCTGAGTGTAACAAGTTGAACCAGGCTCCGCCCCCGTCCCTTGATCCACCTCCTGGTCCTGGTTCTGGTCCTGCAGATCCTCCCTCAAAGTCTTTCAGGGTTTCAGCCTCACGTCTATTTTTGATTTGCAGGAAGGAAAAACCAGTTCTACCTCACTGAAACCTGTTTTCTGGACCCGTCCAAGTTAGAACCGTCTTCATGGGTTCAGTTTTAGATGGAAGGTCTCGTCTTCAGATCAGTAACAGAATCCATCTTAAATAAATTATGAGTTGAAGTCGTTTTTTTATTTATCCTGCCGACGAGCTCGATGTTTGTTCTGTAACGATGGTTCTTTGTTTTTATTCTTAATAAACAACGAACATTTCACTGAAATCTGATCTTTTGATTTAAAACATTAAAATTAAACCATTTTTTTTACTCTAAACTTTATTTTAAAGCTTTTTGTGATTTATTGAAAACATTTGTGTATTTTAATAAAATGGTCTGTACTGACGGAGCAGATTGAATTTATTTAGTTTTAAAGTTTTAATGAGGTGAAAACTGAACTTTTCTAGTTTTTATTTTACGTTTTCTTTTTAGAAAAGACCCAAATCAGTGTAATTTATTTATTTTCTCCAGTTTTCAGGTCTGTAATCGAGAAATGTAAAAATTAAAACGTCAGTTTCATTCGTTCATATTTAGACAAACAAACATAAAAGTTTATACTTTAAGCTTTTTTAAATCTTAGTTTAAACTTAAGTCATATTTGTGTTTAGCTGCAGCGGCCATCTTGGATTTGATAAACTCTTGGAGGGGATCAGTTGTAGTTCAGGGATGACTTCATGACATCTCGTCTGCTGGTTCTTCAAATATTTTGCTAACACTAATCGCAGACGAGAGGCAGTCGGCGACATCCTCAGAGTGCGTTTTGTTTTTTTGAGTAAATTTTAAAATGTTTTTTCTGAACAGTAAAATAAGATTTTAAATCTGGAGTTTGCAACAATTCTTCTTCCAGAGGATCAAACAGATGTTTACAGCAACCGAACATCTGCCTAATAAGTTATATAAAAAATACTTTAGGCTTTTCCTTGTAGCAGATTTGTCCAAGATGTTTAATTTAGGCTTTCTCAAGTTTTATTGATAAAATTCAGTTTTTCAACAACTTGTTTTAAAGTCGTCGGACCGGATGAAGATGGTCCAGGGGCCACGTTTAGCCCTCGAGCCGTATGTTGCCCCGTGTGCTAATTCATAAAATGTATCTAATGGAAATAAAATCTGGGTGTTTAGAAATGTTTCAATCAATAGATAGATGAGAAATTCTCACATAAAACCCTGAATAAAAAATACTTCTTCTTTTAAAGGTCATTTTATTACAAAATGCTGATGTAGAAAAAACAACATAAAAATGTATTTAAGTTAAAAACCAGTTTAAGTTTCTCTACATAAAACTGAACACAAACATGAGCCGAACATTCAGGACACACGAGGACTTTTTACAGGTGGAAGACGTGCGCGACGCGTCGGATTATTTTACAGCTTCTAGTTTCAGTCCATGTCTTTAGGAAAACAAATCTTTTAAATCCTGACGAGCGTCCGGAAAAACAAACTTCCTTTTTGTTTTCCTCAAGAAGAAAACTGCGTCGGTCAAACCGTGAAGGTGGAGGGCCGATCCAGAACCCTCAGACTTTTTTTATTTCCTGGTCTGAGCTTGTCTTCGGACGGCTGCGATAAAACACGAGAAGGTCTGAGAAGTTCCTGGTCCCATCAGGACCAGACCCTTCGGCCAGAACAGGGTCTCCCCGAGTCAGAACCAGGTCTTCTGATGTGTTCAGATCTTTTAAAGTGGAATTATGAACAGTTAATATCTTACCTGCTGCAGATAGTCCTCCGAGCGCCTCAAAACGCATAGGAAGTGCCGCAGCTAGCTGCTGCTGCTGCTGGCAGTAATGCAACGTTTTATGAAACAGCTGGAATGAACCGACGCTAAATTCTGAAGACGGGATGTTTGTGGACGTTAGCAGCTCGGGCTAGCCGTTAGCTAGTCAACACGTACAGAAATAAAAGCTTTTTTTTCAAACTGGCGTCTTCGGAAGCACTTCCTGTAACAGGTAGACTCGTTTATTCACAATTGGACTTTAAAAGATCTGAACTGTCACTTTAACGCATACACGACGGCTGTTTTGTGCGGGCTGAGACCGAACCGCCGCAGGTGTGATTTTATTTCCAGGTAAAAAAAATTAATCTGCAGATAAGATTATTTCGTCTCTTCATCGAGGCTCACAGATCTGACAGTCGCTCTTTATGACCAAAAAACGACGACGACATCGCCGAATCACCGCGTCGCACTTTAAATACTAAAAACTTGTTCCTGAGCTGCGTTAAAGTCCGAACATGAATCGTCTCCAGGTCGTTTTCTGCTTCTTCAAACGAAAACCAAACATCGTGACTGACGACGGCCTTTTGTCAAACACAAATCTAATCAGAACAAATAAAATACAAATCTGAAGGAAAACAAAAACGCTCCTTGTTGTTTTCTGCAGATTATTATTTACAGATTATAATACAGCTCGTGAGTTCTAATAAAATCTGAGCTTCAATCTGCAGCGCGGAGGAGCAGAACCTCGTTAACGCCTCGTCAGCTGTTTCTTTTTTGAACCTGTGCTTGTTTTGTTTGTTTGTTTGTTTGTTTTTCGTTTCTCGGCTCGTTTCCTGGAACAACTGGAGTTCAGAAACCGTCCAAACGTTCGTTACAGAACCAGAAAGTGAGTTCTTTCAAAACGTTCTTAAAGTTCTGGGTTCTGTTCGACTTCCTGAGCAGCAGGCGGGGGACGTCCTCGGATCAGATGGACCCCTACATCCCATTAAAACCTCCTCCTGGCCGGGCCCCCCTGTACATGTTGCCCCCCGGGTTTGCAGGACCGTAAAACCCTCCCAGGAAGTCCATGCCGGTCTGCTGGTAGCCCCAGACCAGAGGCCCGCCGGTGGGAGTTAGACCTCCAGGCCAGAGGTGTGTGGGCCCCATGAAGGTTCTGATCCCCCCCAGAGGACGGGGTTGCCCCAGAAATGGACCGGGGTGGAACGGTTGTCTGTGGAATGGAGCCATGTGTTGGGGGTGCAGCAGGCCGACCCCCCGCTGAGGCGGCTGGCTGTGGGACAGGAGGGGAGAAGAACTCGGCTGCTGGGCGTGCTGTGCTGGGTCACGTGCCCGGTCCGGTACCACGGGGATCCTGGTTACCTTGGCGACGGCCGGCTGCTCCAGGTTGGACTGCAGGTCTCTGCAGGACAGAAAGCGTGAAGTTAAAACCAAGAGGCCGAACTTTAGCTGCTCGGTTCCTGTGGAGGTCTCACCAGACCGGCTCAGGTCTTGTTACTAAACCACAACCTCCATTTTACTGAACGACTGGTCACCTGAACGACTGGTCACCTGAACGGCTGGTCAACTGAACGACTGGTCACCTGAACGACTGGTCAACTGAACGACTGGTCA